TGCACAGTTCCCTGCCTGTTCCTCTCCTTCCCTTACTACCACACCCCACTGTGGTGGGCAGGCGGGTGGCATGCTGATTGGGGCCTGCTGGCTGTGGGGAGGGATGATGGGGCATGGGAGGTTGGCCCTTGGCCCCCCTGGGAAAGGGGCCGCATCCACCACCACCCACTCCTAGTTCCCTGTTCCAGCCCAGGGACCTGCTGGCTGGGGGAAGGGATTGTGGGAGGTTGGCCAGCTGGGGGAGGTTGGCTGTGGGAGTGCACTGACCACCAGGGGGCAGCTCCTGTGTTGAGCATCTGCCCCTTGGTGGTCAGTGCGTGTCATAGCAACTAGTCGTTTTGGTCACTTAGACACACACACACACACACACACACATATACATATGTTAACCATTGAGAAACACAAGTGCTGCCCCAGATGGAAAGGTAATTGTCCCTGGGAGTGCATAAATGAGGTCACTGTTAGCAGTGAGAAGACATTTTCTGGTTATTACCAGAGAAATTAAATTCCTAATACTCAAAGTAAAATATTTGCAAACAACACAGAAGCTTACTGAAGTTCCGATTTTGAGACTTGTTGTCACCCTCTCTCTCCTTTTAAGCTCCTCCCAGTGCAGTCTGTGGTCTAGTGTGCCTCAATGTTTAGAAATGTCTTTGGGCTCTTTTTTTTGTGAATGCTTATGGGGAATGATTAAAAACTCCAGAGCCATTTTTATTTCTTATCCAGGAACATTACTTGAATAAAGTTTGATTACACACGGAGATGAGTGGCAAGAGGTCAGGATGGTGGTGATGCTATATTGGTTAGACATTTTGAAGAAATTTGTATTTTATTTTTTTAAAATTATATTTATTGGGGTGACATGGTTAATAAGATGATACAGGTTTTGATTGTACAGTTTTATGATATATAATCTATATTACATTATCTGCCCTCCACCCAAAGTTATACCTTCTGTCACCAAACTGTCCACCCTTCCATCTGGTGACCACCATACTATTAGTCTGTGTCTATGAGTTTTTATTTGTTTTTCCTGTTTGTCCATTTATTATATGAGTGAAATAAGGTTCTTAACATTTTTCTATCTGACATTTTGCTTAGCATGATACTCTCAAGATCACCCATGTCGTCGCAAATGGCTGTATTTAATCTTTTCTTTGGCTGAGAAGAATTCCATTGTATATATGTACCGCATCCTCTTTATACAGTCTGCTAGTGAAGGACTCTTGGGTTGCTTCCATGTCTTCCCTTCCATGAATAGTGCTGCAATGAACATAAGGGTGCATATATCTTGGCAAAGGAGACCTACAGATGGCCAACAGATACATGAAAAGATGCTGAATTTCACTAGCTATTAGGGAAATGCAAATCAAAACTACAGTGAGATACCACCCCACACCTATTAGAATGGCTCAACAAGACAATAACAAGTGTTGGAGAGGTTGTGGAGAAAAGGGAACCCTCATTCAGTTTTCGATACTATGGAAAACAGTATGGAGGCTCCTCAAAAAATTATGAGTGGAGGTACCATATGACTCAGCAACCCTTCTTCTGAGTACCTGGAAAATTAGAAACTTGTATTTTAAAGCTCTTTCATAGGCTAAAAAAAAAAAAAAAAAAAAAAAAAATCCATATTGACAAATCATCATAATTAAATAAATTCTTTATCCCTAAGAATATTTCTATATATTGTAACTCAGATTGAGGACTTAATTTAATTAAACTACCCATATCAATGATGCTGAACAAGTAGGTAGTTATTGAATTAGCATGTGGTGATGAAACATTTGATAGTGAGTGTGATGGAAAACTGCCATCCAAGGCAATTTGAGGTTTCAATTCAAAATCTAAAATTCTAATATTTAGAGAAAACATGTCAATTTAAATAAATATGATGTTAGTAATCTATACAAAGTCCTTCCAAATAAAAAGATGTGTTTTTGGAAAGATGCTGACATTCTCCAGTGTATTCCCCCCAAATTTAGCTTTTGTTCAAATGGCTACATTTAAGAGATGGACAAGGTCTGGTGGGACAGATGCTGGATTTACAACTCAAACTGTAGTTCCTTTTGAGATTATAGAAACAACCTTACGTTTAAGGAAAATGATTGGGGCTTTGTATTCTTCTGCCATAGCAGTTTCAGTTGAAACCCTGGATGCAGGCTGAGTTTTTGAGAAGTAGCTGTGATATAGATCCACTGTGTTTGAAACATCAGGCTTCTTTATTTTCTTTTTCATGGAAATAAATTAAAAAGTTTCTCAAACAAGTGAAAAATATGCCTAAAACACAGCAGCAAATGCTAATAAACACTTGAAAAAAGTATGAGTGTATTAAATTTAGACCTTGTCCATAATTTCAGGGGAATAATTATAAGGAAATATTTGTAGGACCAATAAAAGTATATTCAGGGGTGGGCAAAAGTAGGTTTATAGTTCTAATACCAATAAATACAATAAGTAATAATAATACAAGAATAAACTGTATTTCACCTACTCACAGCTGTAAACTACTTTTGCTCACCCCTGGAGTTGAGAAAGCCTTTCTGGGTCACCCCAGTCTTAAACAGAAGTGGAGAAAGTTGCACTTATTGACTATCAAAAATGGGACTCACTGAGTGAATGCCAATGTTTTATGTGCTACTCAACCATATCTATCTATCTATCTATCTATCTATCTATCTATCTATCTATCTATTCATTTATAATCCTCATTTCAGTATATGTTGAGAGAGAGAGAGAGAGAGAGAGAGAGAGAGAGAGAGAAAGAGAGAAAGAGAGAAAGAGAAACATCAATTGGTTGCCTTCCATACATGCCCAAATATATTTGGAAGTAAGTGGTTGCTATAGCAGAAGGGAGCACAGGTTTGCATTGTCATAGGATTTTTTTTTTTTTTTTTTTTAACAATTTGAATGATTGGATCAGATTGTTAAAAAAAAAAAACCTAAGTTTTATTTTATCCTACTGTATCTTTGGCATCTGCTGTGATTACACGCAAGGTTGGAAATAAATAACGAGGTAGCTGTCAGCCCACTTTTCAGGTCAGGGCTTTTTGTGATTATTTAGCCTTCAGCTGGGCTGCTGCTGAAACCCCAGGGCTGTTGGATTCCCTCTGATTCCTTACCTAAGTGATGGTGGTTTTAAATTAATAAAAAGGACTATACAGACCCATGATACAATCGAGATGTTTCTCCTGGTAGAAAATGTGGGGGAATAATTAGAAATAGTATGCTGTTTTTTTTTTTTATGTTAACAGCTTTGTTGCGATATAGTTGACATACCTTTACCACAGCATTTACCCTGATCATTTTTTAAATAAAGGGGAAATATTGATAGATGCCTCACTATGAGCTACTTCCTTCTACTTTAAAGCATAATTAAAAACATATACTTTCACAAGTAAAACTATCTTTTTTGGTAATAGTGAGATGATCTATAGCATTTCTGAATCTTAAGCGAGCAAGACTTGAGTGGACCGGGAAGAGTACTGTGGTACCCTGTGTTGGAGAAAGAGAATTCACATGGGCTACACAAATGCTTAAACATGCTGGCCAATGTCAGTGTTGGGAAATACTAAAACAATCCATTGAGGAGTAAGCAATAATCAAGTTTAAAGTAATTACTAGGAAAAACATCTTTTGGGGTATAGGTAGGGTGGTACCTGATGAGAATTGTCCTGCTTTCATGATGAATCTTTGCTTTTTTTCTATTTAGAGTTGATTACACTATTTAAATTTTTGTGTGTGTGTGTCAAGTATAGCATAGGTACATAGGTGAAACGCAAGGACAGCAAAACAAGTAGGATGAAGCTAGCACCCATGTACTACTTGGGTCAGGAAACAGAACATTGCTAACCTCTCAAGGAATACTTCGTATTTCCCTTTCCTCACCTTAGTCCTCCAGCTAGTCATCTCTCGCTCTCTCACTCTCTTTCTCTCTCCTCTTTTCCTCCCCCTCCTCCCTCCCTCTCTCTATTACACACACACACACACACACACACGCACACACACACGGACATAAATGAAACCATTAAAGATGATTTAATTTTGCCTGTTTTGTGTAAATCTGTAATAAATGAAATCATGTGTTCTTTTTGTCTTAACGTCAGCTTTATAGGACCCGTCTGTGTAAGAGCATGTGGTGCACTCTGTGCAGTTACTCATTTCCATTGTGATAGTCGGTTGAATGAACATAGTATGAGTATTTATTCACCCACTTTATAGTTTGTGGGCATTTGTGCTCTACCCAGTGTTTTACTACTGCTTATTATGCTGCTTTGGACTTTATAGTCTATAAAATCCAACACACACGGGCATGAGTTTCTCAAAGTGTAGTTCCTCCATTCGCAGTATCAGCATAAAGCTTGCTAGAATGCGGATTCCGTGGTTCCATGTCAGGTCTGTTTTCAAATAGCGTATACATAAAATATGCTCATTTCAATGATGGTGGTTTTGCTTAAACTAGAAGATTGTGGGTCTTCTAGTTTAGGCTGCCCTGGGACCCCATGAGCGATCACACCCACGGGTATGCTTACACACAAATGCACGCTCACTCCAGTCTCTTAGCAATGGACTCTTGACTCATTTTTGAAACAGAGAGGTTTTATCGCGTTGGAGTCAAATTTTGGTTGTTTTTTTCCCCTAAAGAATTAATAAATATTTTTAAAAAATTTGCTAACATTAAAGATTTCAAAAGAACACGCAGCAGACCGAGGACCTGCTGGAAGAGCACGTGGTTGCAGGTTGGGCAGAATATTATTCCGGGTATGAGAGCTGCAGAGAAAGCAGGACTGACAGCTGCCTTACCTGAGGGAAGGGCCGGGTTGTTCTGAGCCTCAGTTCTCTCCTTTGCAGAGAGGACACTGTGATTATTTGATTATTTGCCACATCTGTTCTGTGGGTTCCTTTCAGCCTTGGATCGGCGTATGAACCTGTGTGAGCATGGCTGGTTGTCATGCCTTCATACATGCGGTGTTTTTACTTTGTTTTTGTGCTTCCTGCAGGAACGGTTCCAGGTGAAGAATCCTCCCCACACGTACATTCAGAAGCTCAAAGGCTATCTGGACCCAGCTGTAACCAGGAAGGTAAGAGGGATCTATTTCCACTCTTTGTCCCCGCGTCCCCAGGAGCAGGCAGAACCCTCTGCCCTGGGGGAGACCTTCCTTCCTCTGCGCTGTGGCCTGTGCCATGGCCTCCAGAGAAACAGTCTAGAGTCCGACATGAGAAGACAAAGGGAGGAGCTGTCCTGCTCACGTGAGGGTGTGTGTGAAGAGCTTTCCTGAGAGGGGAGGCCCTCCCCTCTGGTGGCCACTGAGCCACTGCCCTGTGTGATGACACAGGCGGGACTGCAGGCCAGCGCGTGGGGGCCCAGGAAAGCAGGCGGGCCATGGCCGGCTTGTCTTTCATGTCCGGGTGCGTTTCCAGGGACCTTGACAAATCGCTGGGCTTTGTCATCCCAGCTGTGCTCTCGCATCCTGTGTTGATGCTTTTAGCAGCTTCCCCGCCCCGGCCCTGCCCCCGGCCCCAAGAAGGTGAGGAGAGAATAAGCTCGCTCCGTTCTCGACAGACGCTGCCCTTTCACAGACAAGCCCCGCTTTGTGCAGCTGCACAATTGGCTCACACGGCTGCCTCGTGGTCAGGCCTGCAGCCTGGCACGGCCCCCGGGCCTCGGGCGGGCCTGGGATGTCTCGGGGCAGAGCCGTCCCTGCTAAGATGGGTAAAGCGCTCCTCTGCAGCCAGCTCTTGTTTTTCGGTTGACCTACCACGACTCCTGCTTTCAAGGCTGCAAGGAGAATATCTGGAGCTGAGTCCCCTCTGTTGTTTCCGCGTGTGGCCCCTGAGAGAAGAAAGGCACACTTTTCCTAGTGAGCCGCTGTTTCCAGGGCCCTTGGCTCTTGTATTTAAAAAAAAAAAATCTTTTTATTTATTTTTTTGCTTTCACTCAGCCCCCGGTGCCCCCTTTCAAAAAAAAAAAAAAAAAAAAAAGCTAAGCAAAGGAAAGCAGCTATTGTTTCTGCGTGGAATTTCATGGTTAACACGCAGGCAAGCGGAAATCGCATCTCCACATGACGATGAAATGGATGTAGACCTGTGCTGTCTGCTAGACGCCAGATGGACTTCAATGACACAGCCTTGTCTTCTGTACCTGTCAAGTCTCATAGCATCCCCTCCCCTGCAACCTGCTCCCAAATATGGCGCACACATGTTTGTTTTTCTAAAGGGCTTCTGTCAGCTCCCCTCAGTGAGACAGCTGGGTAATTCTTTGTTTCATTCTTGTTCGTCTCCTCCCCCAAGGACGGAGCAGCCTCGGCCACCAGATTAGAGGCGGGTTAAGGGAAGGCACACCCATACGCACAGCACACAAGCAGAAGGCCCACGTGTTTTTCTGGGCCATTTCTTTGCCAGGGGCAGCAAACTTCTCTGTTAGAAACATTTCCAGGTATCCCCCGGCTTCCACACCTTCCTGCTGGATGGCTCACGCATTAGGCACACTCACCCCTAGCTGAGCGCTGCAGAAATGCCGATGTCTGTCTGCAAGACTGAGAGCTTCCCTCACACAGAGTGTATCCCATCCCCAAACAGTTATCGCAACATTTGTCAGATTCTGAAAAGAAAGGGGAAAATAGGTGAACTCCCGGAGAGCTGCTTAGACTCCAGCCCGAACCCCACAGCGAGGGGAGAGGGGTTCCTCCTGGCATGTCCCAGCTCCCCTTTGGAACAATTTCTTCAGGGTTGAGGCAAAGAATTAATGACCAAAAATGACAATAATAATAATAACAAGCTGCTCAGAAAGTGTTTTTACTCCCTCCCAAATAATGATCAAGAGGCCCAAGACAATCGACCTCTGTTTGGCTGACCTTCAGTCTCGGCGCTAGGCCCTGTGCGTCCACCTGAGTGGCCTTGTTTGGTCTGTGCTTCATCTTTCACCATCAGTCATTGGGCGCAGAACAAAAACCCGAAATGGATATTGGATCCACCATCCCTGCTGCTCTGATTTCTGTTGTGAGCTGGCAGGAGGAAACGATCTGTTCCACTCAATCTAATGGTCATGCGCAAGGCCTGGGAAAAGGAGATTGCGTTTGGAATAAGTCATGGCTTGCAGTTAAAATGTGTTTCACGTACTCAGTGGTAATATGGAGGGGGAAACAAAAAGATTTCAAATCAGGGCCCCGAAGTGTAGGCCCAGCAGTCTCCCCTAAACTGCATTGAGAGTCCTCGGGTACTTCATTCATTGAGCTTTTGTTCATCTGGAACACAAGGTACTTCCTGTGCCATCTTCTGAAAAAATATTCTGACATCTATTCTACTTAGATTTTCTTCTAAATAGTTTCAAACTCTCCAGGGCAGGAGATATCTCTGGGATCAGAACTCTCCAATCCAGCCTCCTCATTTCATACCCGGCAGTGCTTGGTCCATGCTTTGGAGGTGGGAGGGGTTGCTTGCGTCTGGCCTGGGAAAGGCCACAGACCAGGAAGAAGGGAGTCTGGTCCTCTGTGATGGTATAAAATCTGTTGTCTCGGTCTCCAGGGCTCCGCTGCCTCCTTGGGCCCATCCCCACGCTGCGCCTTCCTCTAGGGAGAGGCTGGTCAGGGGGAAAGACTGTAAGTGGATGGTACCCTGCTTCTTTTAGCGGGTCCCCACGGGCACACGGTTTCTCTTCTAAAGCATTCTGCATCCATTGTAGAAGTGCAGAGTGTTGGCACTCAACTGTTTATATGCTTAGCAAAGTGGGTGCCAAGCATCTCTGTAGTCTAGAATTCAGCTAAAAATCAAACAATTCCCAAGAGAGGACAGTACAAGGGCAAAGTCAATTTAGTTTCACTTCAGGTCCTATGTAGTTGCCAAAGTGTAGTGCCTTACCGTAGTAAATGGCTAATAAATGCTGTCTGCTGCTGCCGTCCCCATTATCTGATAGTGTTGTTTTGATATATGCCACTTAGTCCTCCGCAGGTTTTCTTGTATGCCCTGTTATGTCCTCCTTGCTTCGCTGGGTGCCCTTGTGGCTGGCAGTGTCTGGAAGAGCTGCCCTTGACCCAGGGAAGCACGAGGCAGAGTTGGCTGGCAGAGGCCTCAGGAAACCAGGCAGAACTGTGCCACATGCATGGCCAGGAACACCGAGTTGTCTTCTGAAGGCCGCAGGTGTAGGCAGCCCAAGACTTGTGACTCTGGCATGGGAATGGCCCCTCGGGAGCAGCCAGCACATCTGGAAAGGTATCCTCACCTGCGTGGCCGTACGTAGACCCCCTCCTCAGCAGCCCTCAGTGCTGGAGAGCTCTGCAGGAGGAAGCAGTAGGGTGGTGTCCCTCCAAACTGTAGATGCTGCTTCCATTTCTTAGGCCTTTCTTGATAAAAGAGGGGAGTGTCTTCCTTTCTTCATGGCATTGAGGACGCTTTCATTTCCTATATCCTACTGTACCTAAATTCTAAACACCTGAGGAAGACCCTGGGGTGCTTTAGGAATGGCATCCGGGGGAATCTGGGAGACTTTGCTTCCTTAGTGCTCTGGTGAGAAGCATAGGGCCCTCAGAAGAGGAGAGAGGGACAGGAGCCGCCCGTACTGAGCAGGGCCGGGTCTTCACTGGGGCACCAGGTTCCACCCGTGGCGTGGGTGGCTCTCCCCAGCCTCACCCTGGAATCCTCCTGGCCAGGCTTTCTCCTCTCCTTCCTGCGCTTGCACACCTCTGCCTTTGGAGCCGGATACCCCTATGCACCCTGCAGTGATGGCAGTAGACAGGGCTTTCTAATATCCTAAGCTAGAATCCTCACAGCCCTTTCCCGAGAACAGTGTAACATGACGTGGTTTGGACCTACAGGACAGAAAGCATAAGGCTCTTCTTAGAAGGCGTGGCACATCAGATGTCCTTCCAGAGTGGCCCAAGACTTCAGTTATTGCAAATAAGTGCTTCTGTAGGAAATTGTGTTCCAAAGAACTGCTGTCCTGTGCAACCCAGTGAATCCTTGGAGGTTAGATAGAGTTGAGAGCAGAGAGGGGTGAGCACATTGACAGAGGAGGATTCCTTGAAGAAGAAAGACATAAGGATGTTCTGTAAGGATCCAAAGGGTCCTAGAGGCATGGGAATGAGGAAGGACATTTCAAACATACAAGGGAGGTGCTTGAGAACAGGGACCTTCCAAATGGGGGCTCTCGGGCAGAGATAACTCTGAATGTTTATTTTTGGAAATGCTAGATTATGCAGAAAGGAGTTAGCATAGCAAGCCTGCTACCTTAGAAATACCTGTTTGCAAGATTGGATCCTGGTTGTCAATTGGGAACTTGAATTTTGGGCGAGTTCCTCCCCATTCTCTGATAAGAACACTTCCAGTGCCCAACTTGTCTAAACAACAATATGGTTGATGGCAAATGCCTCTTTTCCTTCTGGGAGGCTGGACTAAGGTATGGGCCAGGCAGAGAGTGCCCAAGGGACCCACCCTCCAGTGAAAACCCTGGGCGCTGAGTCTCTGATGGCTTACATGGCCGACAGCATTTCACGAAGACGGTCATTTGTGACTCCGCTGGGAGAAGACTCTTGGAAGCTTATATCTGGTTTCCTCCAGACTTCACCCCAGCTATCATTTCCCTTCGCTGATTGTGCCTTGTATCTTCTTGATCTAATAAATCCCAGTCAGAAGGACAGCTGTATGCTGAGTCCTATGGATCATTGACACTGGGATGATCTTAGGGACCCCAGCACATAAATATATTGGTGAATATTGTATGGTGGGGTAAAGGGAAAATAATCTACTTATTGATACTTAGTACATGAAAAATCAGTAATTTTTTCCCAATCCTTTTGCATCAGCTGATTTTCATGATGAGAAAAATGTGTGTGCTTTGCAAAAAGAAATGTGAGAAAAGCCCACTTCAGAAGCAGAGCTATTTTCATATTGTGTTAAACCGACTACATGTAAGCTACAGTGTTAGCAGTTGCTAAAATGTGTTTTGTGAGAATATGTGTTTCTTGAATTATAGAAATTTAGACGGCGTGTTCAAGAATCCACACAAGTGCTAAGAGAACTGGAAATTTCCTTAAGAACCAACCATATCGGGTAAGTGTGCCGCCCATTTAACGTTTTAGCTCCAAGGCTCTTTTGAACACTTTACAAAGTGACTGTATCCTGTCCGAAGAGTTAAGCTTCCTTACTGTTCCTTATAAGCTAGGAGACTGAGGTGTAGGAGGGTGGAACCTGTGTTGGTACTTGAGTTGCTCACTGTACAAAATTCAGTCCTTGGTTTGGGATATTTATAACCGTTGTAAAAGTTCCTTGCTTGGATGTAGTAGTAAGTGTGTGGTCTCTTATGTGTATGATAATTCTTTGGCAAATTAGGACTCTCCCCCCCCCCCCCCGCCCCCAACATGTAATGGGGAGAGATTCTGGAAGACCTCCAAACCTTTATGGGAGTTCCAAAATTGCTCCATTCTCCTTTCCTCAGTTCCCTGCCTTTCTGGCCAGAAGGGGACAGAAGCTGGAGTGATGTCACCTGGTACACTTCATTGTACATAGATACTTTGTTCTGAGTCTCTTCTTCCTACATCTCACATTTGTAGGATCAGGAAATGTAAGTCCACTCTAGAAAATAAAATTTGAGGGATCTCGTCGCTAAGCATTTCTGAGTTTTCACGCAACCACATGATTGCTTTGCCTCAAGCAAGTATAACTTCATGACATTCTCACATATTCCTGGTGGCATAATTCTAGAGTACCTTAAAATAAGATAGTTTATCTGCAAGGCATATCCTATTTTATAGCCTGAGTTCTTCCTGAAGTTTTTGTTTAATATCCAGCAAGTTATTTAACCCTCTGGGCTTTAAATATTTGAGTTTTACAATAAGAAAACCTTTTAGGATTTTCCCCTTTGGCATTCTTTGTAGGTCTTTTGGAAATGAGGTTTTTACATACATATTATTTTATTGTTTTACAGAGTAGTCTGTAAAATAAATATATTACATAAGTAACAGTTTGCTTCTATTTTAGACTGTGTTTGCTGTAAGCCATTCAAGTGGTTAATTTTCACAGTTATTTCAGAACTAGAGGCCCAGTACATGAAATTTGTGCAAGGTGGGGGAGTTGTCCAGCCTGCACCCTCTCCAATCTGGGATCCCTCTCACAATCCAGGACTGCTGGTTCCCAACTGCTCACCTGCCTGCTTGATTGCCCCTAACTGCTTCTGTCTGCAAGCCTGATCACCCCCTAACCACCCCCCTGCCAGCCTGATCAACGCCTAACTGCTCCCTTGCCAGCCTGATTGCCCCTAACTGCCCTCTCCTGCTGGTCTGGTTGCCCCTAAATGTCCTCCTATGCAGGCCTGGTTGCCCCCAGTCACCCCTAACTGTCCTCCCCTGCAGGTTGGTCTCCCCAACTACCCCCCTTCTACTCCCCCCTGCTATCCTAGTCACCCCTAACTGCCCTGTCCTGCTGGCCTGGTCACCCCTATCTGCCCTCTGCTGCAGGCCTGGTCTCCCCCAACTGCCCTCCCTTGCAGGCCTGGTCTCCCCCAGCTACCTTCCCCTGCAGGCCTTGTTGCCCCCAACTGCCCACCCCTGCAGGCTTGGTCCCCCCCAGTGGCCCTTTTTTGCTCTCCTGATCACCCGTAATTGCCCTTCCTTGCAGGCCTGGGAACTGCCCTCCTTGTTGGCCTGATTGCCCACAACTGCCCTCCTATGCTGGCCATATTGTGTCCACATGAAGATGGCCATCTTTGACCACATGGGGGCAGCCATCTTGTGTGTTGGAGTGATGATCAGTTTGCATATTATCTCTTTATTATCTACACTAATAAAAGAGAAAGATGCAAATTGACCATACTTTCTTGATGCCCACCAGCCAATCAAGAATGAGGAAGCAAATTAACACAACAAAGATGGTGGATTAATTTGCATATATAGGTGCTGAGTGACCAGGGGTGGGATGCTTGAGCCCTTGCCATGGCAATGACCCAGGCATTCCACACCACCCCAGCCCATTCGGGCCTCTGGGCAGCGTGGAAAGGCAGAAAGGCAGCTCCAAGTCAGAGCAAAGGCGGTGCCGTCAGCCAGGGGAAGGAAGACTCATTCTTGCACGAATCTTCATGCATCATTCCTCTAGAATAGGATAAGCTTTTGCTGTTGTTGTTAATCCTCACCCAAAGATATGTTTCCATTGATTTTTTATAGAGAGAGTGGAAGGGAGGGGGAGAGACACAGAGAGAAACGTTTATAAGAAAAACATCTATGTGAGAGAGGCATGTCTATTGGTTTCCTCCTGCACATGGGTCAAACCTGCAACTGAAGTACACACCCTTGACCAGAACCCTTCAGTCCCTCAGCCAAAGCTCTATCCACTGAGCCAAACTAGCTAGGGCAAAATAAGCTTTTTAAATTGCAGAAATGCAGGGTTAAAATGTTCATTTCCTAAAAGATAACTGCATGTTTGTTTCCTTGAGAATGAAATATTCAAAAAATGAACCGATTCTAACCTAAAGTTGAAAATCACATTTATCCCAGAAAATGGGCTACAGAGCAGTGGGTCATAAAATCATGATTTAGAACTGGAAGAGAAATTAAGGATTACCTAGTTCCTCATTTTACAGATTAGAAGAATTAAGGACCAGAGAAGGTGTGTGACTCCCTCAAAATCTACAGCTGTAGAGCCAGATGCTTTGGATCAAAATGCTATGTTCTTTTTCTTATGTTCCTAGTCTGGCAGCCCTTTCCCTGAAAGGAAGTAAGATAATCAGGGCTCTGGGATCAAAGCAATGAGGCTTGTCTTTTGGGGGTGAAAGTGGTGGTAAGTTAATATAGTTGGGCATCCAAGCTTAGGAAATTTACATACTTTCCAATATTTGTGGATCAGGAGCTAGATTCCATTTGGTAAGATCCAACCCTGTACTGTTGGCACCGCTTCTTGACTGAATGATCTGCAGCCAGTATTTTTACAAATTGTCAAAAAGCATTTCTTCAGGCATTGCTGGAATAATGTGAAATTGACCATCAAATACCAAAGCAAGATGATCATTCCCAATACAAAGTTGGCTGACTGGTAGAGCCCTGGTTGGGTAGAAGCCAGTGCAAATCTGCAAGCAATTGGAATGGTCTGTTGTTTAGGATGCTGTGGGGTGTTGAAAGATTCTTACATTTCTTTCATCTTCTCCAGCTGAAGTTTTCTGTGTTTATCACCTATCTGAGGCACTTTGAAAGCTTTGGCTTTAGCAGCAGAAAAATGCATGGAGGTGCATTGTCTGTATGCAACCAATTACTGGCATAACCTTATACGAATGAAACCACACACCATTATTTTTGACCCAACTTGCCTGACCTGAAAACCCAAGCCTGAACTGACTCTTCACTATGGAAACTAAGCAGCTTGAATCCATTTGGCTGGAAATTTTTCTGAAAAAGTTACTCATTAATAATGTGAAAATAATCAATACTACGAGGAATTCTTGGAATACAAGATACTAAGTAAGAGATCCATAGATTTTTATTGTACTCTTTAAGGTACCATAATAGAAAGGTAATTGGGTGCCTATTTGCCTTATGAAAACAAATATGGTAGTACAAATTTTTGCTATTTGTTATTTTATCTTAGGTAAGTTATATAAACTCTCTGTACTTACCATCTTATCTAAGTTAGTTTCTTATCTGTAAAATGAGGATAATAAAACTTGATAGGCATATTGTAAGGATTAAATGAAGTAATTCACAAAATGTCTAATATAAAAATGATCTAATATAGGGTATAATACATAGTAATTACTCACTATACAACTGTTGTTTGTTATGCATGTTGAAAATAATATTGTATCTAATAACAATTTGACCATATTATGTGATATATCCCCAAGGAATTCCATGCAGAGAATGTTGCCTTCTTTGTTTGAAATGACTCTGACACCTAGGAGATTATTGCTTACCAGAAATTAAAAGGAAGAATTACATTTAAAAATCTATTGTCTTAAAGAAATTATTCTTGGCACATACTTGCATTTCAAGGTTACAGGCTAGGGCTTTGCTGAGATAACATTCCAAGCTATAGCTTTGCCAAGCAAAGGGTTTGTTCTGAGTTTTGATGTTAACCTAAAACTCTATAAATGGAGTAATCTTCTGAGAAAGAAAATTAATTTTCTTTGAGCCAAATTGAAATAAGAATTGGACTCGAAATAATCACATTCACTTACTCTTAAAAGAGTTATGATAATAGAGAAGAACTGGAGTATGACTTATCCCAGCTCTTGAAATGACTTGGAATACCCTTGAAAGGAGCCACAAATGTTAGAACACACTGGCCGGGCAGTGTGAGTAGGCATATGTTGTGATGTTTTGGATGTCAGGATGATAAGATTCAAGTGGCGGCAGTAGTGGTGAGCTGGATAGATTTACGGGCTTTATTCCATGGAACTGAGATGTAGGCTAGCTCTTCCTGCAGTAATTCATTGTAGTAAAACTCCCTATTATGATAGAAAATTAATTCTCATCCTGAGTGCAGTCACAGAAATCCTGAAGATGCTCAGTTCACTTTATCTAATTGGGGGAGTTGAGAGGATGAGGTTGTGGGAGGAATGTCCTAGTGGGCAGGTTGTAGGAAGGGGAGGGAGTGAGGAAGTGCTCAGACTCCCTCCTGCAATTTCAGCTTTTTCTGTGAAGAAGCAGGGTGAAATGGGCCCGGCCAAAGAGCGAAGACTAACTAAGGCTGGTTTTAAGAGGCATAAAACATGTACTTGGGTGATATGTGTGTGTGTGTGTGTGTGTGTGTGTGTGTGTGTGTGTGCCTTTCCTTCCTTCCTTCCTTCCTTCCTTCCTTCCTTCCTTCCTTCCTTCCTTCCTTCCTTCCTTCCTTCCTTCCTTCCTTCCTTCCTTCCTTCCTTCCTCCCTCCCTCCCTCCCTCCCTCCCTCCCTCCCTCCCTCCCTCCCTCCCTCCCTCCCTCCCTCCCTCCCTCCCTCCCTCCCTCCCTCCCTCCCTCCTTCCTTCCCACTGTGCCTGCTGGCTTAATTGCCCCCAACTGCATCAAACTAGCCTCATTCTTAGATGGTGCTTTTTGGAAAATTTCAAGTTCATAATCACTTGGTCAT